TCTGGCACACAACAGGCATGTAACAAAAACAACGGAAGTTCAGGTGGGGATATGGGAGAAGGGAGGACGGAGGAAAGAGGGGATGGGCAGAGGTCAGCAGGATAGATCGGGGAGGACTGGCTCCTCTGTGGCAGCCATCCTGACAAGGCAGACACAAAACTAAATGTGGCCTCTCGTGCCAGGCGACCCAGCCCCTGGAAGTGTGCAAGACCTTCTAGATGAAGCTGTTCTGGACCACCTGTGTGACTATCCTGCTGCTTGCTCTGGCAAGATAATGAAGACAGACACTTTGGCAGGACGCTTAGTCTTTTCTACTACAAACACGATTCAGCCAAGGCTTGCCTTCTTGTGAATCAGAGGCAGTGTTTTGTTTTGGGGCTTTCTAATCGGCACAGATATGTTGGTATGGAAACCACACTTCTGAGATTATGATCGAAACATCATTTGCCTCCACCAGCTTTCCTGAAACCTTACATGCTGATAGTAGGTGGGAAATGTCTGCATTTACCACATCACTTCTTGCTGGCAACAAGCATCTTTCCGTAAATGGTTATAAAATAATTGTAGCCCACTCTTTCAAAATAGCTCTTATTTGTGTCTTTCAGCAAATAATAAATATAATCAGTTTTCAGAGCTTGCCTGTTACCAGATCATGAACCCCTTGAAGACAGTGCTATTTCGTTCAGTTCTGGGTGATCCAGGCTTACGATGGGGCATGACACCAAGAAAACATCCCGTAAGTGAGGCTTGACCGGCCAACCATGACAACTGGCAGATGTACCATCCGTTTCGGAAGCCACAGCCTTCTCCATTTGCCTAGCTCTGTGCAATCGCCAAAGCCTTCTCGTCATTTAATGGGACTTGGTCTTCCCATCTACTCTGAGTTGCGCAGGGCATGTTATTAGCCCCATTCCATACAGAAGAAAATAGGAACTCAGCCAAGTCCAGACACAGCTGGGCTCAATAAGAAGTGACGAGAATTGGATCAGAACCCAGGCTCCGGGGCTCCCGGGAGCAGCACTGCCCTCTGGTGGGCCTCCCTAAATGCCTCCCAGACATGGTGCAGCAGACACCCAAGCCACAGGCCTCACATCGGGCTATGACACCCCAAGTTTCCTCTTGTATTTATTCTCTTGTTTGATGAGCACCTTCTACGGTGATTTAGTTTGATATTAATGGGTGAGGACTGCTGTAACAGAAGACCGCAGGCTGCTTGGTTTAAAGGACAGAAATCTATTTCTCACCGTTCTGAAGCCCGAAGTCCAAGGCCAAGGCACCATCAGGGTCAGTTTCTGGTGAGAACTCTCTTCCTGGCTTGCAGGTGATCACCTTCTCAATGCGTCCTCCTGTGGCCTCTTCTCTGTGCTTGGGAGGAAAGAGAGAAGGCTGGTGTCCCTTCCTTTTCTTATAAGGACGCCAGGGAAGACCTCATTTGACCTTAATTACTACCTCCCAAGGGCCCTGTCTCCAAATATAGTCACACTGGGGGTTGGGGCTGCGACATATGCATTCGGGGAAGACAATCTGTCCATACGAGCTTAATCCAGATCTCTCCAAAACGCATACAGATTGTCTCCTGGCTCCTCTCCCACAGACCTTTCCTGACCCTACACATCCATTTTTCTAATTAGCATTGACTCACCATTTTAATGAATTCTGTTCTGTGAGAGAGTTCTGGAATACCATCCATTTGCACACTAGAGTTCTTCCCTGTGCTTATCTCTTAATTTCTGAGCAGGCACATGAGTGGGAATCATAATGAGTCATTCCATTTCTCCCCTGAGCCTGAGGGCAGGGACTGCCAGAGGAGCTGGGCTGATGTGAGGTGGAGGTCCCTGAAAGGTGGCTGGGTGAGGGGGGTGACTTTATCATACTTTAGAGCAGTAGGGGCACACGGGAGAGGGGGTCTACTTCTGCCATCTTACCTCGGTCTCACTCAATGGTAAGATGACCAGAAAGAGAAGCCTGCCCTCCTCTGGGCTGCTCACTTCGTAGGACCCTGTCCTGTAGGGCCAGCACCAATGAGGCAGGAGCCAGCCCATCCTGTGTGATCCCGAGAGCCTCATCTCACTTGCCTTACCCTAGGCCTGCCCCTGCTGTCCTGGCCCTCTTTGACCACTCCCTCCCTCAAGGGAGAAGCTCACAGGGCTGAGATAATGTGCCCACGCAGAGCCCACGTGCCCCCTTCTAGACCCTAGAATTCAAGTGGCCCTGAGGCTGCACAGGCCTCTTTCCCATTGGGCACAGCCCTAGGCAGGAGGAAAGCTCACGAGGCTATCCACCAGGCTCTGCGTAGGAGGGGCTGGATCAGGAGGTGGGAAGGAAAGGCGGCCCCCTGCTGGCCCTCCCCAGCCCATCGTGTTCCAGGAATGAACCCAAAGATTTGGATCTGGTCTTCCACAACTTGAAGAAGGTTTATTTGTCATGGCAAGACATTTTAAATGTATCTATTTGCTAGTTTGATGTCTGACTTTTAACCCTTTAGACAAAGGGTCTGTGGCCTTCCACCCACATTCCTGCCCTAAGCCCCACAAATGTTAGTGTGGACCAGGCAGAAGCAGGCTTCAGAGGCTAACTTAAGAAGCCCCTGTAGGGAAATGACCACACACACATTCACACACACACACACACACACACACACATACAAACAGACAACTACAGGTCTTTGGTTCTCTTATATGACAACTGTGATGGTCACTGTGCTTATGATCAGGGCCATGAAGGATTACTTCCTAGTAATTTATGATCATGCCTGCTCGGGTAAAGTGTTGAGGTGGTGTGTGTGTGTGTGAGTGTGTGTGAGTGTGTGTGTGTGTGTGTGTGTGTAGTGGGGAGGAGGGAGCTAAATGTGGGGGGCCTGTACGTAGACACTGGCCAGAATTAGATCCACCTCTTCGGGGTTAGGGGAGATGTTCTGTGCGCCTCACACACAGGTAAACACACAAACACACACACAGGAGGGAGGAGCAAGATGGCGGAGGAGCAGGAGACTGAATATCATCAGGTCCCAGGAGTTGAGCATGATAGTTATCACACCATTCTGAACACCGACAGACTCAACAGGAGATGGAAGAGAAGAAGAGCGGCAATTCTACAAACAGAAGAGCGACCACTTTCTGGAAGGTAGGACGTGCAGAGAAGTGAATCCGAGGGGACAGATGGGAAGGTAGACCGCGGGGGGAGGGGCTGGCTCCCGGCAAGCAGGAGAGCAGCAGAGCACAGAATCGGAACTTTCAGAAGTCTGCTCCACTGAGGGACGCCGCTCTAGAGGCTAAGTGAGGGGTGGAGCCCTCGCGGGGACAGTGTGGTCTCAGGACCCGCGGGGTCACAGAAACACCAGGGGTGTCTGAGTGTGGCAGAGCTCGCAGGTATCAAAGCGGGGAAGTCGCTGCAGAGACGCAGCCAAGGGGCTTAAGGGGTTACCTTAAACCGTGATCCAAGGTACAGTCGGGCCACTGCTCTCCGAGCAGGAACCCCACAAGTGGCAGATCTGGGAAAACCCCCGCCTTCCTCCTCCGGGAGAAGCAGTGTGGGAGTGAGCGGCAGGAATCTGCTGGGTTTGGAGACTCCAAACAGGGCCATGCACTAGAGACAGAAACGCTCCGTCACAGACCGGAAGAGCACAAGTGTCGCTGGAGACCAGGGAGATGGGAGGGACTGACAGCTTTTCTCTGAGGGCGCACTGAGGAGTGGAGCCCTGAGCTCTCGGCTCTTCCGGTGAGATACTGGGCGCCGCCATCTTCATTCCCATCTCCAAAGCCCTATGGAAAGCGATCAGGGAACAAAAGCTCCTGAGAGCGTACCCTTAGCCTGGCCCTGGCAAGGGCAGTGCAATTCCGCCTCGGGCAAAGACATCTGAGAGTCACAGCAACAGGCTGCTGACCCAGAAGATCAGCAAGAACATCCAGCCAAGACCAAGCTCACCAATCAACGGTCAACGAAAGCTGCGGAAATGTGTAAGCCTGATGATTCACAGACCTGTACCCCTGGGGCAAATAATACATTATATGTTAATAAAAAATTTTTTTAAATAATAAAACATTAAAAAACTTGCTTCAAACTTAACTACTTCACATAGTAAATAAATTATGTGAATCTTAAAAAAAAGCACACACACACACAGACACGCACACAAAAACACACACAGACCACACATACACACAGACACACACAATACGGATCATATCACTTCCCAGGGGCCACCCCAGCCCCTCAGACTTTCCTCTCTTCCGCTGCCTCCCACCACCAGTTTTGACCCATTAGGACGACTACATAAAAAGTTGTCCATCTTTTGTTGGCCCCAGAAGCAGTACAGTGTTGCCAAGATATGGGTTGTATCACCTTGGACATGCACGTGGGGGTGACAGGGGACCCCGTCCAAGGTTGATGCCAGTGGAAAGGTTCCAAGCCCCAGCCCTAGCCCCAGGCCCACCCAGCTCCAGACTGGGCTAGGCCATGATAAAGGTCATATCTCGATTGTCATTACCAGGGCCATGAATGACAATGAACCCAACCTGGAACCCTTTCTTCTGAGGTCCTCATGGGCAGCACACCCCTCAGGCCCACCAAGTGCCCCTGGGTTTAGAGATTCTTGAACCCAAGCTGCTTGCTATGGGTTCATGCAGGCAAGAAGGTGGGAGAGGGGAGGGACCCTCTGGACCCTGGTGATGGGACAGTTGGCCTAGACAGCCCCTCGCAGCCTGGCCTGCAGCTCCCCAGGGTCCTTGCAGAAAGATGGCCAAGAGTCTTTCTCCCTGAGTCCCAGCCTCGCTCCCACCTGCTCTAGCCCCTCCTCGCCCGGATCCGCTGTGCAAATACAGGGCCACCACCGACTGTGGGAACAGTAAATTTTCCCTCACTCTTTTATTCATGCCCTCACCTCTGCAGACAGTGCTGAGGAAAAACAAACCCCACAAAATCCCTGCGGGCTCCAGCAGTCTGGCAGTCTCTTCTTTGCTCTTCTCTGATCCCCTCCGGATGGCAGAGGCTGGAGAAGAGGCCTACCGGCCTCCTAGGGGGACGACGGCACCCCCCTTCGCCTCCCCCAATGGTGCTCGCTGAGCCCCATATCTGCTCTGGGGAGCAGAAATCAGTGAGACCTGGGGAAACTGGGAAATTATTATTCATGGCTTCCAGGAGCAGCACTTGATCTACCTCACCTGCCCAGCCTCCCCAGACTGCAGGAGAGCACCAGGCTGGCGAGGTGAAGTGCCGCTGCCCGGGCCACCATCTGAGGAATGGCCGCAGGGAAGGAGGGGCAGCCCCAGCAGCCGGGCCAAGGCAGCGTCTACACAACAGTCCAGCCCTCCAGAATTCCCAGGAAACCTCTCTTCCTCCAAATCTGGGGTCACCAGGGCAGGTTTCTTTTAAGTCCAGTCAGACTGAAGGAGGACTGGAGGCACAGACTGAAGGGGGCCAAGGGGCACTAGGTTTCACAGAATGCCTTTCATAAATACAGTGGACTTGGCAGGACCCACTGTCCTGGTTTGCCCATACAGCGGTTTCTGGGGACATGGGGCTTTGGGAGTTAAAACCAGGAGCATTTTAGACAAACCGGGAAGATAGGGTCACCCTGAGGGGCCGTGGGAAAGGATTCTCCCTCCATGGGACTGAAGGAGCTGGGGAGGACTTGAAACACTGCCAGGTCACGGGCCTCCACCTATCCTGGAACCTTGACCCCATACATACAAACACTGGACAGACATGGGGAAAAAAATTTGTTTGCCTGGTGTGGTCCCCACCCCCATCAGGACCCTGAGGGCGAGCCTCAAGGGAGAGCACTGGAAGTGCTGTCCTGGTATGGGCCTGAGGAGCCGGAACGTGCCTGGTCCTTCACATCTGCCCAGCACCACCCCGAGGTGCTCTCTCCACGGTGGGGCAGGTGTCTCCAGAGGTAAAAGAGGTTTGAGTTAAAGCTGAGAGGGCAGATCCGTGGAGACCACCTGGCCCAGGCTCCCTGTTGGACAGGTGGGAGACCAAGTTCAAGGGAGGTGGAGTCCCTTACTCAGGGCAGCACACTCTTAAGGGGTTGGAGGCCCAGACTGGGGCTCTACTCCATCAGATGCCACAGCCAAAGATCCATTAGAAGGGAGGAAGCTCGGAAGGTAAGCCCAGGCCCGTGAAAGCCCCCGCTTTCCTGGAGCCCATATTTTGCTCTGAGAGAGGCACATGAGCGGGAGATCAGCGTCGTCTGGAGCCAGGACTGCTCTCTCCATTCTGAGTCCCCAGTTTGGTCCGTTCCAGCACCAACTCCAGGCAGAAACCTTCCAGCAGATTGCCCGGGACTGCTTTGCCTGAGAGCCTCTGGAGCCCTGTGCTATAAGTCTACAGATGTACTGCCTGCTCCACGTCTCACTGTCCAGGTCTCGGAATATGTAAGAAAGATCAGCCTTGCCCTCAGAAGTAGGAGTTCCTCCCCATCTGCTACTAGGAACCTTCTAGAGGTGGTGGTATTTAAGACAGCTTAAACAGCCATTAACAACCCTGAACACCAGTCGGTTAGCAGGAAGCAGGGTCCCAAGGGTGAGGCTCACCCAAGGAGTGCATCTTGATGTGTCTGAGTCGAGAGGTGGGGGGTATCTGGAGCTGGAGGCTGGGAGAGGCTGAAGAGTGGTAGCAGGTGTAACTGGGCTCTCTCTTGAGTAGCCAGGAGGGTCCTAAGTGCATGGCCAGGAGAGGGCAGAGCACCAAAAACAGTGGGAGGACTGAGGGAAATCTGCTCCTGGCAGCTCCTGTACCAGCTTTTAGCACTTATAGCATTTCCAGCTTTGTCGTTTTACGGGTGAGCCCAGCACTTCCAAAAGTAAAATGTAAGAAAGAGCCTGGGAAAGGTTCCCGAGGAATGGCAGGGCTGCCCCTTCGTTCACAGCAACCTTTCTAGGAAAAGCAGGACTCCACAGAAGGGCTAACAAGGAGAGAGAGCCTGCACCCGCACTGTACCCTCCAGACCCCGAAAGCATGGAGAAGGAGTAGACGAGCGAAGGAGGAGACCCTGGGCAGGGCAGCCAGGAGCTACCTGCTGGGGAAGTCCCAGGGGGCTTGCCAGCTCTGCTCAGGTAGGGGGGACGCAGACCCCTTTGACAAGAGAGGCAGGTTTCCTGCACAGAAATGCCCGGACTTATTCCACGAGAGGCCCTTGGAGCTCCCTTAGCAATTACTGCCTCGCCATGTAGCTTTGTGCCTGACTGGCCACTATAATTTATTGCAAATCCGTCTCATTGCTCCAATAAGGCAGTCGGCTTCTCTACCTCTGAATGCAACTGGGCACCCAGCTGGTCCCCCATTAAAATCCTTCTGGACCTGAATCTTCCCACCTTTCCTTGCCCCCCATCTCTATCCTGGCACTCGGGCAGCTGGCCCAGGGGAGCAGGACGAGCCCCCACGGACACAGCTCCTCACCGTCCTAAGAGCTAGATCAGCAGGTGCAAACAACTAAGTGCAGGTGGCGCCTCAGAGTCTACAGTCCCGACTGGTCGCCTGGCAAAAGACACTAGCAGCTTCTGTCGGGAAACAGGGAACTGCTATTAGCAAATTCTCTAATTAGGGTTCTCTTTATTGTCCTCCTGTGGAAAATACTCATTTGTAAGGTTTAAGGCAGACCGTGAAAATCACGGAGAACTGGAAATCTGTAAGAATATTGCCTGAGAAGGGTCTCTGGCAGGAGCCCCTTAATTTCCCAGGTTCTGCTTTACCTCACCTATAAACAGCAGGGGCGGCAATGCCTCCGTGCAGGCAAGTGACTCAACTAGGTAAAAAAGCACGTTCCAAGTCCACACTTCTGGGCGGCACTGGACCTTTCGCTCATCCACGTGCAGAACAGGGGTGTGGAGGCAGAGCGAAAAGCCCCAGGCTTCCCTGGCACCTACTTGTGGCGGGTCTTGGGTGAATACCCAATCTTTCGGAATGGAGTTTCTTGCCTGTAAAGTTGCCGCAGTGATAATGATATCTTCGCTGCACAGATATTATGAGATCTAAGTGAGATACACATGAACAGTGTTGATAAACTGGAATATCCAGCTGTTTCTGGTTATTAACCAACTCCAATGACTGTGATAAAGAAAAACCTCCCTTTGAATAAGCCAAGGCTTCCGGGTGACATGAGAAACACCAAGAAGATCACCGCTGATGGATTTGTTGGTAACTCTTCCCTGCCCAGAGTGATCAGCTGTCCCGAGGCTGCCTCTTGGGATGGGGGCTTAGCAGAGTCAGGGAGTAAACGCTCGAGCTCAGAGAAGCGGCTAGAGGACCACGAACACAGGGTGAGGCAATTTGCCACCCACTAGGCCCTCCCCGTGCTGCTTCTGGGGTTTGAGAGCAGACCCAGCAACCTCCTCCCAGGTAACAGAACCACAGTAAACTGAGGCCCCTCTGTTTTAGTGCTCTTCATGGAAAGGGAGCAGACCCTCCAGGAAAAAAAAAATGCTGATAAACTCACAAAAAAAGTTGTGTTATTGCTAAACGCTCATTGCATTTCCTTGGGTAAGCACCATAAAAAATTCATTGCAGTTTTTAGAAACAAGATGCCAAGTGTATTTTAATTGCTAGAGGGGAGAGAGTCAGGGAGAAGCTGAACCAGGAAAATGCTAACTGAGCATAAACTCAGAAAGAAATCTCCCCAAGACGGGAGGCCCAGTGCTGAGACCGGAGCTCAGGAGACACAGGTATTGGGAAGCCAGGCCCTCCTAAGAGAGCAATGACTTAATGGTTCTCAGGCCTGCGGCTGCGGCCCACCCAGAGACCTGGGGCTTTCTGCAGTAGATCATGTGGTGTGGACTTAAGAAATGTAAAGAATTAAATAAGAGAATGCCGAAATTCTAGAAAGATCAGCAGGAGTCCCGTTCTAGAGCTTTAACATGTATAGGAGGAAAATTAAAATTCTATATCTTAGCATGTGGGTGTGTGTGTGTGTGTGTGTGTGTGTGTGAGAGAGAGAGAGAGAGAGAAAGAGTATGAGAGAGGGAGTGTGTATGTGTGAGAGAGAGACAGAGAGACAGAAAGAGACTGAGAATGAGAGGCAGACCTAGACGAAACATCATTTCACTTTAATAACAACACGCCTTGGACCAGTTCACAGAACTGTCATTTATAAACCAACACCCTATCCCAGTGCCAACCAGAGCACTCTTACAGGGCTCCTGCACCCCCCACCCCACAGGGCCAGTCAGAGCCAGGAGGGAACAGGCAGTAGGTGAGAAAGACTGCAGAGTGGGGAGGGTCCTTGACTCCATGGGCTTGGCCCTGCCTTGAGCCAGGGGCTCCTCTAGGGCGGCACCGGCCCCACCGGAGAGCACATGGAGAGAGTGGTTGCAGGGCGTCCCTGAGCGTCCTTTCAAAAGATGTGCACAAGGTGGGGGGGTGGGGCAGAAGGGCAGGCACGGAGCTGCTGCCGGTAGCCTCTTGCTCTCCCATTCCTTCCCGACCCCCTCCCAACCCTCCTATCTCCCAGCCCAGCCCCACCCGCTCTCCTGTTACATGAGCGAGGCTGGCCCACAGGTGGTGACTGTCTTGTGTGGTAGGAGGTCCGTGCCTTCGGCATCTGAGGCTGCTGCTTCTCCTCCATCTAGTGGACCTGCCAGAGACCCAGGAAGCATGAGGCTGCGTGCAGCACTGGGGGAGGGAGTCCCGGGCTGACAGAGGAAGGAGCCAGACCCGCAGCGTGGCCCCACCACCTACCAGCCCAGTAGCAGTCACTGTAGTAAATCACTTGACCATTGAGAGCCTTGATTTCTACTTCTATCAAATGCAGCTAAATATACCTGCTTCTCGCGGTTTTCTGAAAGGCCTGAAAGAGGAGGTGGGTGCCTGTGTCCCCTGTTGACTCTAAAATTTGTTACCTACCACCCGTGCCTGTGCCCAACCCTGCAGAAAGAGGCGTTTCTTCATCACGCCCTGCACTTGTAAAGTTCTTCATACACGTAACCCATTTCGTACACATTCTCCTGCTTGGCCCTCCCACCGAACGGATGGTTGAGAGCCTTGCCGGGTGTTGCACAAGAATTAATCCCTTGCTGAACCCAAACTGCTAAATACCACGCTCTCTCCAGAGCGCAGGGAATGCAGGCGCTCCTAACCACCATAGATACCAGGAATAAACCCGCATATGAACAACACGCAGACCACTGGCTGGAGGCCTAGAGCCAGCACTGTGTAGCCACTGCTCATAGTCTGGCCTCATTCACTCATCACAGGAGCGGTCAAGGTAGCCATGGTGCTATTACCAGGAAACTGAAGCTTGCCAAGGTTAGCGATTTGCCAAAGCTCACACAGTAAATGGCAGATCTGAGCTACAAAGCCAGATCTACTCTAACCTAGCGAACACTTAAATCCATAAAAATCCAATGGATTCAGTGTTACAAGCATCACTTCCTCCTCCCACTCTCGGGACCATTCCCCAGCCCCAAGCAGGGCCCAGGCCTAAGAGGTGAGGGTCCCAGTTTCCAAAGGTTGGGTCCTTTACAAACCCACCCATCCTTGCCCCCATACTCACCCTCACAATGTCATGGATCCAGTCCAGGAACTCAGCAACCTTGGCGTAGACGCCCGGGTGATTGGGCTCCGCACAGCCACGGCCCCAGCTGACCACCCCCACCAAGTGCCAGGTGTCCCTGTCCAGGCACACCAGGGGCCCCCCGCTATCACCCTGAGAGCATGGAGACACAAAGAAAGAGGCAGTTAGTCCTTCCTGGTGGAGGGGACAGTGCCTCTGTTCCTGGTCCCCGCTGCTTGCAGCACGGGATTTCCGCCTGCCTCACCCCTCCGTAAATCCTTAGCACACCGCTCGACATGCCTAGGCACTCCTCCTTCTAGAGAGGCTGCTCGGAGAAGAGGTCAAGACACCGCAGGTCCCCCCGTGCCCCCCAACGCCACCACGGTCCCCCTCCGTGCTGTACCTGGCACGCATCAGCCCTCCCATCCACGTAGCCAGCACACAGCATGCGGGGGGTGAGCGCCCCACTATACATGCAGGAGCTGTTGCAGAGCTCGGTGCTGAGCAGGGGCACCACCGTGTCCTGGAGTGTATCTGAGCTGTGGGCTGCAGGAGGTACACATGGAGAAGGAGGGACACAGAGCCAGGCCGCGGGGCACAAAGCAAGACCAGGAAGACACAACAACAAGAGGGAAGGTGATTAGGGGCCCTGGAGGCATTAGACCCATAGAGGGGAGCCCAAGGTGGGATCTGCGGACCCCGGGAAGGAAACATGGGTCCATCAGACGTAAGAGTGAAGAGGAGTAGAACTCACACACACACACACCCCCAAACACTGAAGCCACAGCACTCCTGGGATGGAGGGCAGGGGTGTCAAACACCTGGCTTCAAGGGATACTCAGGGAGTGTTCTTCCAGAAAGACCCAGGCCAGGGAGACAGGGGTCCTAGGTCTCGCCAACAGTGATGCCAGAGAACAAGGGGGTTGGCACCACCATTTGGCTGGGGGAGGTGGAGGTGGAGATAGAGGGGCCTCACCTTGGCCAGAAGGTCCCCCCACCCCTATTTTACCCAGGACCCTGGGAGCTGACTCACTGTGGCTGGGGTTGGTATGGCCCCAGCCAGACACCCAGCACTGTGATCCCCTTGGAAAATCTTGTTTCTCAGCTGGCAGGCACACAGCACCCACGGTGTCTGTGGAGAAGCAGGTGATCCTGGGTCCCACTTGGGCTTAGTTTCCTTTCCCCACCTCCTCACCCTCAGGTTGGGGGAAGAACCAGGGCTGGCAGGTCCTCTCACTCCCTCTCAAACAGTCCTGGCTCCCCGCCTCCCCCAGCCAGGTCTCCTGTAAGGTTGCGCAGGTCATGCACTGCACCACAGTGGCACGGAGGTCACCACTGACACAGAGGACGATGTATAAACCACCATGTGCCTGGTGCCTTCTAGGTTGGGCAATGGACACCCCGCACAGACCTAACCTGGGGAATGAGGGAAAATGGGAATTCCTTCTGGGCGTTTGTGCCCAACTTCTCCTAATGAGGACTCATTTTGCATTTTCCTTAGGGTATTTGATCCCTCTTGGGGCATGGTTTCCAAAAGTGTGTGGCAAGTCCTACAGGGTTGGGCCCAAACTTGTTCTAAAGTAGCAAACAGACATGCTGATTATAAAATAAACACTGAGTCCCATGGGGAGAAAGGATTCCCTTCTCAGGGCTCTTTCCACCTCTGCAAGAGCAGCCAGGAAAAAGATTCCCTCCAGTGCCATTCCGGGGCTCCCCAGTCCTGCCAGCCTCCACCTAAACACGGAGAGTGCAGGCCTGGGCGCGGCTGGTCTGCAGAGGGCAGCGAGCTGGAGCCCCAGCGCTGTCTTGTTTTCTCTCTGTGTTTCTACGGTTGTTACCTATTCGCCACAAATAATACGGGTTCTCTGGTTCGGTCGTAACTTAAAGCTCCCCTTTCAAATATACCCGAGTCAACCGAGAAATATTAACTGCTGAGCCAAAGTTCAGGGAGTACACATGCGTGGTGATATTTGTGAAGGGCGTGCAGCAACAGCCGCGATTTGGGAAACCCAAGGCTACAGGTGGTGATGGGAGGGAGGAGCACGGAGCGTGCGTGCACATGTGCGCCTGTGCATAAGTGTGCATGCATGGGAGTGTGTGTGTGTGTGCGCCTGTGCATGAGTGTGTACGCATGGGAGCATGGGAGCACGTGTGTGCTTGTGTATGAATGTGTACGCATGGGAGCATTACTTGCGTGAAGATGGCATGAACGAGTGCGTGCATGTGTGTGTTTGTTGGTGAGGAGGCAGGCACCCGTGCGTGCTATGGGCAGGGGTGGGGGTTTGAGAGCCGCTGCCGGAGAGAAGCCGGACCCCGGAGTCAGGACACCAGGCTCAGGAACAGTTTGCTGAGAGATCTTGTAGAGTCACTTTCCTTACTAAATCCTATGGTCCTTCCCTGTTTATACCTGCCTCATCTACCTGTCAGGGTCAGACGGAAGGAAAGGCATTTGGGAAAATAAAGCTTAGTAACTGGGACATGTCCCATGGTGGCTGGGACCTGGGGCCAGCCTGGGGTCGGGGCGGAGCAGTGCATGGGGAGATGGAGCACCGAGGAAGCTCTGCCAGGTACTTTGAGGCAAGTCCCTCTTGCAGCCCAGCTATGCGGGGGGCCAGAACCTTCGTCCCCAAGAAAGCCCACACACGTTGCTGCATGCTTAGGTCCAGGTAATGCCCAAGTTCACTGTGGTCATCCAATGAACTGAACGTGTTAATGTCTACAGCACTAGGAGGGAACCTCAGAAATGAGCTCACCCCTCAGGCCCCACCCACCCCCCCGCCCCGCCTCCACCCCAGGGCCTGCCTCCTTCCCCACAGCCTGCACTTGCTCGGGCCAGGTCAGCGCCTCACCTGAGAAGTTGAGTGGCGTCCAGAGCCGCAGGAGGGCGATGTCATAGTCGTGAGTCTGGCTGCTGTAGAGAGGGTGGGGGACGATCCTCTCCACCACAGCCCCCTGGTGAGGCCTGATGGCACTGTGGCTGACCAGCCCCACATGGACCCGCCAGCTGGACAGGCGGGGTACCCTAGAACTGTACACGGGAGCCATGCTGAGCCCGGGGAAGGACAGGGCGCACAAGGCTGACCTAAGTGAGGTGGCAGATGGGGGAAGCTGGCCAGAGAAGCCATTTGTGGCTGCCCCCATCACCAGGCTGGGAGCTCCCAGAACCCAGGCTCCACGCCTCCTAGTATCCTTGCAGCAGCTGGCAAGATACTGGGCATGCAGTAGGTGCTCCATAAATGCTCTAGACCGGCCAGAGAAGTAAGACAGTGTGGGAGATCTACAACTCCCACCGTCTCTGTCCTGAATAACGCTCCTCCATGTTTTATAACAGACATCAAAGGGGCTTGTGTGATATGCTAACTGCGAGTCAGAAAAACCATGAGTCCTGTCTCTCCGCCTACTGCGATTGTGGGGAATTCGCTTCATCGCTCCCAGCCTCGGTGGCCACCTTGTAAAATGAGGAGTACACTATCTGCCCCGCCTGCCGCCAGAAGGAGAGGTCCACAGAGCTCATTCACTCGTCATTCATTCCTACACCACTCCAAGCTGTAGTTATGAAGCACCTATTATCTGCCAGGACTGTTCTCGGCCAGAGGGACATGGCAGCGGGAAAATCAACACAGAAACTCAGTGGTAAACAAGACTGAGAGTGTCAGCCCCCACGGAGCTTCCCGTCTAAAGGGGAAGCAAGACATTAAGCCAATAATTACACGGAAGGTGATTTAATTACAGTTGTGATAAACATTAAGAAGCACAGAGCACTGTGAATGGGAAAGCCTTTGAAAAACTTCAAAACTGAGCAAATATAAAGAAGCGATCTTTGTGTTATCGCCGCTATTCGTGCAGAGCTGTTCTCGGCAGGGACCGGGGAGAACTGCGCCATGCACGCCCCTCAGAATGGACGCGGGAGGCAGACAGTCCGACGGACATGGACATGTTATACGGGACATACCGCAGGCCAAACAGAAAAGGCCGCTGAGGCGCCCTCCGGGTCCGCGGCCCCGAGACTTGCCTGTGCACGCAGTGAGCGGCCGTCACCACCCAGTGGGGCGCCACCACGGAGGCCCCGCACGTGTGCCGGGAGCCCAGGGCCACACTGGCCTGCCAGGGCCAGCGCCCAGGAGCCACGGCCTGCCCGCCAACTATCCGGGAGGCCAGGGGCCTCGCCCCACACGCTGCAAACAGAGAAGCACAGGGGAGATGGTTAGCCAGAAGACAGGTGGGTGTCAGCATGGTCCTACCCTCCGGAGTGTGGCCCAGCACGGACAGCTCTCATTTATTACTCCTGAGTTTGGGGGACAGGATGGTCCAAGTGTCAGCTACACATCTGTCTGCCCCATCAGGCTACAAGCTCACTGAGAGCTGTGACCATGCCTACATTGTCCATGGAGCCCCGACACCTCATAAAAAGCCTGTTCCATGGGAGGGGTCGAAATGTTGGTGTATGGATGGAGGCACAGATATATAGAGAAATATAGATGATTGGGGGCATGGGGTCAGACGAAAGGAGCACCACAGACTGTCTCCCATGTGGCCTCTAGTTTGCCCCCTTCCTTAGTCTCCTGAAGGTGCTAACTGGTTAGCAGCCAAGAGTAATCCCTTTGGGGCTCTCCAGATGAAGGGGGGCGGGAGCTTCAGAAGTCAAGGCAAGTAGTCCCAGGAGGCGAAGCAGATCATCCGCCCAGATCAGTGGCTGGTGGGGGACAGGACAGGGGCTTGGTCAGGGCTCTGTTGGGGCAGAACCGTGTCTACAAGAAGGGGACCAGTAGGCAGAGGGGCAGGTGGGTAAGGAACCCCACCCCAGACCCACACTAAGGACAGGGGGAGACTCCCTCCTCTCACTGCCACCGTCCTGGACATGCCTGGATATGACTCACCAGAGCATCTGAGGGAAACGATTTGGCCGGAAGCACAGCTGTTCCTACAAACAGAGGTGGCAGCAGGAGGCTGGGCAGGGGCCCACCCAAGGGCTTGGAGGGAGGCCAGGGGCAGTCATCAGGTGCAGACAGAGGAGGCCTCTGGTGCAGCCCCCATCTGCGTCCTGCCTGCCTCCAAGCCCTGGGCCCCTCCTCATTAGCAGTTCTCCAGGACAGCGTGCTACTCCACCCCATCACCCCAGGAGGTCGTGGCCCTTGAGGGTGGTCTTGGGCAGGGCCCAAAGTTACAAATCTGGTATCTGTAGATGGGAAATCCAGCTATGCCTACTAAGAACCCCAGAACAAACGTGTGGTTGGATAAGGGAGCGAAGGAAGAAGGCGCATGTCACCCCACGCCCCTCCTGGGCTTCCTCTATTCTCTCTCCAACCCCTTCTTGCTCTCCCCTCTCCCTCCTCCTTCCAAGCAAAACTTCAATTTCTGCTGGACCAAAGCCCTCTTCTCTCTCGTACTCATCTCAGGCCCCGGCGGCCCCGATCCCTCTCATATCCCAAACCCTCAGGGCTCTGGCTCCCTGACAGTTCCACTCACGTGAACTGAGTTTGTGATTTCTGACTGGGAAACGCTCCTGTGTCCCATCTCACACAGCCAATATCCTCACCCCCAGGTTCCCACAACAGGAAAATTTTTGCTGAACATTTCACCAGAAGGGACCCACTCAGCCTCCTGAGAGGTCCTACCTGGACTGCCACACTTCCTCCAGGAAGCCCTCCAGTCTGGGAGGGAGCTGAGCAAACCGCTGGGAGCTGTTGAGCTTGATGTCAGACAGGTTCACTCCCTTGAGGTGAGTGAGTCTTGGCGGAAAAGAGGAACAGAACGGGAGGAAACTGGTTGATGCTGCAGCACGGAGATGGCAATAATCACGACCAAGATGTGCCTGAGATGCCGTCCCCAGCGGTACACGGAGCAAGACTGACAATGACCTCTTCTCGGATTCATATTTGTTAAAGAGCAGGGACGCTCAAAGGAGAGAAACAAGCTGAGGTCCCATCATGCCCAGAGGGCAGGAGACGGCCAAAATGACCTCTTGTCAGTTCCTGAGCACTTTGACGGGACAGGCAGATAGAGGTCTCCGCCTCCCTTTCCCCTCCACCCTCGCCCGGGCCCCAAGTCTGCCCCCCCCTTACCTGAGATGCCCCAGGCTCTGGCAGATCCGCACCCCCAGGGCAGGGCTCCAGCCCTCGTGGCAGACCAGGAGCCAGTCTGGCCGCGCTCTCACCTGTGCTTCCAGCAGGAAGTCCTCCGTGATTATTCTGAAAGATACTGAAGGCAAGGCATGGAAGTCACATCCTTCCTCCTGCAGGGCGGAGGGACAGGCTGGGCAGGGGGAGCTGGACCTGGCCAAGGGGGGACCTGAAGAGGCCTCATGACAGCATCTGGGTCATCCAGTGTCGGGCTCCCTGTCCCCCGGGGAATCAGGCCAGTTCTGAGAACAAAAGAGCCCCTATTTATAGTGCTGCATTCCAGTTTGGTGTTTAACCAAGTGCTTTTAAATGTGCTGTCACCTGTTGTCGTGGCAACCCCCCAGGGGGTGAGTATGACCATCCTTCCATGCTGCAGAGGGACCACTAAGGCAGGGAGGGTAAGGGACCTGCCCCAGTTCACAGAATCTGCGCGTGATGGATCCAGGACTACGTCCAGTCTTCCGCTTTCAAATCTTGTGATCATCCTAGTGATGGTTACCCGCTGAGCCTCTGCCTTCTTCAGGCTCTGTTCTAGGCTCTTTCACCCATTAGCTCGTATTATTCTTACAACTTCATGTGGCAAATAGTGGTATCTCCATTTTGTAGAGAAGGAAATGGAAGTTCCAAGAAGCAATGTGCCCAAGGTCGCATAACTAGCACTAGCAAAAGGCAGGCCCCATGCTAACCGTGACTTCTGTAACTGATTCCAGCCCCCTCCTGGGCAGCTCCTCTTCTGATCCTCCACTCAGGTTTGGGGGGAAGAGGACAATGTGAAGCAAGGTTCCCCTCCGGCTACACACCGGCTCCCCACATGCACCTGTTCCCCCTTCCCCATCCTCCTGGCTCACTCTGCCCCAGATGGCAAGTTGCCATCCTTCCTCCCAGCCTGGGCTCCTGGCTGTGCCCACGGTAGGGTTCAAGACCGTCCCCAGGGAGTGCTGAAAGCTCCAAATCTGAGATGGATTTTCAAAGCTGGACCACATTGCTCCCTCCCCACCAGAGGAGAAGCCCCCACTGCCGGCAGTGATGTCAGGGCACTTCATTCTGTCCCCTTGCCCCGGCCAGAAGTGGGGATCCCAGAGCCATGAAGGGGCTCAGGGCAGGTGGGGGTGGTCTGTAGTCTTGGGGGTGTGGCCCACCTGTTCTGGGCAGCGTGGGGAGCAGGGCTTCCACACCGCCGGCCTCGGAGCAGCTCAAAGGGATCTCCTCATCCTGCAGGGTCCCGGGAGTGGGCTGGGAGGTCGCCGGCTGCAGATAGAGCACTTTGGAGGACAAGGACAGGAGAGGGTCACAGAGAAGAGGCTAGGAGAGGGGAGGGATTCCCACATGAGAGGGCCAAGGGGCAGAACAAGACCCCTGCACCAGAGGGAGACAAAAGCAGCTGCTGGGGACTCGCCCTCGACCACCCAGCCTCAGGCGCGTCCCCACCTAACACACTAAGAGGCACAGCTCTCTCTCCCTGTCTGTCTGTCTCTCTCTCTCTCTGACTGGGAAAGATTTCTAGAGACTGTTCAACTTGGGCCTCCCTGGCTCATCCACTCAAGTACCTTCACTTCCCCCTGCAAGACTATAGCCTTCTGGACACAGAGCCTAACTCCCTCCTGCTGAGGTCCCACCCCCCCCACTCCTTCTCCCCTGTGGGCAGTCCAGGGGAAAGGAGAAAGACGGGTCCTGGCTGCCTTTTACAGCTGCTTGTCTCTTCCCGCAAGGACCCCCCAGACCCTGGTCTTCGGCCCTCCCTGGAGCACAGAAGGGTCCCCGCACTGACCGAGAAGCCAGGAGCTGATGCTCACACCAGCCAGCAGTGCCAGCACTCCCAGCCCCGCACAGCAGCGCTGTCCCGCACCCGGGCACCCTGCCAGAGAGGCTGCGGGAGAGGGGAGGGCAGCGTCTGTGTGCCTGGCCCCTGCCTGCCAGCCTCCCTCTGCCTGAGGCTCCACCATGGGGCTCCAGCCATGGGGCTACAGCAGGAGCTATACCCCCCCACTGAGCCTGCCCGCCTGCCCGCCTCCCCTTGTCCCCATGCCCACAAGGCCCACAGAGCCCACTCAACCCCCAAACTAGACACAGAGCAAAAGCAGGTCTGGGATAAACCATGGAATAAACTCGCCTTCAGCCACTGGGGGTTCTCTCAAGAAGGGTCTGGGGAATGTAGGAAGATTACCCATTCGCTGTCCCCACCCTGTCATTCCCCTATAGCCCAGTCCAGCCTACTGGGGTGCTGCTGGGCTTCGGGCCTCCGCAGTGGGTCTCTCAGCTTTGCTTGGAAGTTCTTGGGTCCTGGGCTCTCCTCTGCATACTGAGCCTCCATGTGGGTTTGGCCATCCGGCATTAGGCTCTGGGGAAATAACTTTTGGTCACTTGGGATCCCCACACCAAGGGGAAAAGCTCCGGCCCCTATAAGACCCCACTCTCTAACCTTGGCTGCGCGCTCACTGCCTTTTTTTCATCTTAGAGACTCTGTGTGTTCCCACTGATGCCCCCCACCAGTCCCTCTCTGCTCTCCTGGAGCCTCTAACCCTGCCCCCCTTATTCTCACACAGCCCGTAAGCACCACAGCCGGTATTCAAACCCAGACCCAGCGCTCCTCACCATTCCCTCCCCTGGCCTCCTGCAACCATCAAGAATGTCCGCTGAATCTCTCAGCATCCCTCCTCAGGCCTCTAGATCCCAGCTTTCTTCATTACCTCCTGTCTCAGAGGAAGAAGCCCCCTGCCCAATTCACCGTCCATTCATTTGCCCAGTAAATAAGACTTAGCCCAAGTGCTAGGCCACAGTGGAGGACAAGGTAGGGAGCTCAAAATAAATCAACATGGAAAAATTCCAAGAATAAAATTACTATCTGCATGTTCAGTTTTTTTAAATTATTGTTATGTCAGTCACCATAAAGTACATCATTAGTTTTTGTTGTAGTGTTCCATGATTCACTGTGTAACACCCACTGCTCCATGCAACCTTTGCCCTCCTTAATACCCATCACCAGGCTCACCCAACCCTCTACCACTCTCCCCTCTGAAACCCTCAGTTTGTTTCCCAGAGTCCATAGTCTCTCATGGTTTGTCTCCCCCTCTGATTTCCCTCCCTTCATTTTTTCCCTTCCTTCTCCTAATGTCCTCCATGCTATTCCTTATGTTCCACAAATAAGTGAAATCATATAATTTCTTTCTCTGTTTGAGTTATTTCACTCAGCATAATCTCCTCCAGTCCCGTCCATGTTGATGCAAATGGTGGGTATTCAGCCTTTCTGATGGCTGAGTAATATTCCATTGTACATAGGGACCACATCTTCTTTATCCATTCGTCTGTTGAAGGGCATCTGGGCTCCTTCCAGTTTGGCTATTGTGGACATTGCTGCTATGAACATTGGGGTGCATAAGTCTAAAATGAAAACTTATGATCATACAAAAACCTATATGTATATAATGTTCATAGTAGCTTTATCTGTAATAGCTAAAAAGTAGGAACAAGTCAGGTGTCCTTCAATGGATGAATGACATCACCCATCGCAATACATCCATACCAAGGAATAAAGAAAAAGAATGAACTATTGACACGTGGGACAATGTGGGTAAATTTCCAGAGAATTATGTCAAGTGAAAAATAAGCCAGTCTCAGAAGGTTACATACTGTATGATTCCATTTATATAACATTCTTATAGCAATAGCATTAAAGAAATGAAGACAGATTCCTGGTTGCCAGGAGTTAAGGAGGGATGGGATTGGAAGGGAAGTGGGTGTGGCTACAAAAGGCAACAGGAGGGATCCTTGGGGGGTATCTTGACTTTATCAATGTCAATATTGTGATATTGTACTAGAGTTTGGCAAGATGTTAGCACTGGGAGGAAAAGGGTACAGGTGAGATTATTTCTTATAAGTGCATGTGCATCTGTAATTACCCCCAAATAAGTTTAATTTAATTAAAAAAAACCTCAAGAACTAAACAAATAAAAAAATAAAATTAATTAAAAAATAATAATAAGGGGCACCTGGGTGGCTCAGTAGGTTAAGCCTCTGCCTTTGGCTCAGGTCATGATCTCAGGGTCCTGGGATCGAGCCCCGCATCGGGCTCTCTGCTCCGCGGGGAGCCTGCTTCCCCCCACCCGCCTGCCTCTCTGCCTACTTGTGAGCTCTCTCTCTCTCTCTGTCAAATAAATAAATAAAACCTTTAAAAAATAATAATAATAATAAAGTAAAATTATTACTAAAATAATAAAGTAAAATAAATCAACATGGAACACTCCCCAACTGCCCCCAGAGAATTTGCTGTCGAGTCCTGACATGTTAAAAAAAGGCAGAACATGTTAAGTGACAGAATAAAGCAGGAGAGCTTCTCACTGGGGGATCAAAACAGGCTTCCTAGAAAAGGCAGCCTGAGACGGTCCCTCCTAGATGAGCCGGGCTTGCACGGACATACATGGGCACTGGGGGAAGAGACAAAGGCACGGGGGTCAGAAAGCACAGAGCAGAGTGAGCCGCAAGGCTGCGAGACGCTCACGTGCCATGAAGAAGAGTGACGGGAAAGAAGATCTTGGAAGAAACCCCAGACCAGCAAAGCAAAGCTCGGTCTGCAGCCTCTTACGTGAGCTGAGCTCAGCCCCTCTCCAAACTTCAGTCTCTAGCATCTGATTTCCACTCACTGTCCATGCCGCAGCAATCCTCCTCCAATTCCAACATGAGCAAGCTGACCCCCTCATTAAGTACCCAACGAATCTTTCTACTCTTTAAGAAGAATCCAAAGTCCGATGGCACCGCCTACAAAATCCTCTGAGCTCTCGCCCTTCCTCACCTCTCCATCCCCATCTGCCGGCATGACGCCCTCCGCAGTGGAACTCGGTCCTAGTAACACACATGCCAGTCTTCTGGGCCCTCATGCACTCTCGCGCCACAGAGACTTTGCCTCTGCTGTCCTTCTCCCCGCGTCACTGACTCGTAAGACCCAGCTCAGACGTCACTTCTCCAAGAAGCATTTTTCTCTATGAGGCACCTGTTGTGTCCCTATATTGTGCTCATTTACTTCTCTTTCTCTCTGCCCTTCCTCACTGGTCTAGGCTCCCAGAGCCTAGCTCAGGGCCTGCCACAAAGTGGGAATTCAGTTAATGTACATTGAGGAGGAAGGGAGGCAGGTGGGGATTATATGACCAAAAGGGTTTTATAAGTTATAAAACACAGTGCAAATGCTAAGTATGATAATAATATTAATAAGAAATAGGGGGCGCCTGGGTGGCTCAGTGGGTTAAGCCTCTGCCTTCAGCTCAGGTCATGATCCCAGAGTCCTGGGATCGAGTCCTATATCAGGCTCCCTGCACGGCAGGAAGTCGCTTCTCCCTCTCCCACTCCCCCTGCCTGTGCTCTCACACTCTCTCTCTGTCAAATAAATAAATAAAATCTTCAAAAAAAAAAAAGATTCTTTCTCTCTCCCTCTCCCTCAGCCCCTCCCTGCACCTCCTCACCCACACGGGCACATGCACTCTCTCAAAAAAAAAAAAAAAAAAAAAGTTAATAAGACTTGTCTCCTCTGAAGACCACAACTTGCCCTGCCAAGATCCAGAGTGGTACCCAATGATCATAAAAACCTGAAACACTGGGTGCTTGGGTGGCTCAGTGGGTTAAAAGCTCTGCCTTTGGCTCAGGTCATGATCTCAGGGTCCTGGGATCGAGCCCCACATGGGGCTCTCTGCTCCGCGGAGAGCCTGCTTCCTCCTCTCTCTGCCTGCCTCTCTGTCTGCTTGTGATCTCTCTCTCTATCAAATAAATAAAATCTTAAAAAAAAAAAAAACCTGAAACACTGACTCCAAGACAATGTTGGTTTAGATGGGATTCCCAATGGTCAGAAGGAATGTTCCTGTCACATTCCTCAGTCCTGCCTTTGTGTTCCATAGAACATCCTCATGTTCCTGACCCTCTGGCTAGGAGGAAAAAAGGCCTTTGAAGACTCACCCAGATCAGTCACTTCTAAATCACCCTGGAAATCGTTCTACCAGACCCGTGAACACCCTTGCCAGCTCAGCTCGCAAGTAGGGTAGCAGCCCAAAATTCCGTATGAAGACACATCACCCCTACCTCCCCTCTCCTCCCCTCCCTTCCCCTCTACCGGTCATGGCCCAGGACAGGTAGGGCTGGTCCTCCCACCAATAGGGCTTGCTGCTCCACAAGAAACATGGGGTCTTGGCTTGCCCCTCACCACAGACACTCCTTCTTGGGTCCAGAGATGAGGCTCAAGGGCAAGAGCAATGAGACTGGAGAACCGCAGGCTTGTTAGATTCAGTCGAGCACCCATAAGAAAGCACAGAAGTGACAACGGCATTTGGGGTTTGGGCTTCTCCTCTGGGAACATGGTTTCTCTTGAATGGATGTCCTTCTGAGCAAAGAGGCAATGCTTGGTCTGGAGAGAATTCCAGGGCATGGCCAGGCTTTCTTCCCGTCTCAGTATCAAGGGAGCTTGGTTTTCAGTTCAGCTCCCGGACTAACTGACCTCACCCAGGAGTTGCTCTACCTCCAGACCCATGTGTTTGAGCTCATCAGTAGCCTGGAACGACGGGCTGTCATGGAGCAGGACCTCCTGGTCCTCCCTTTGAGTACAAGTTCAGTGTAATAATGACTTGCTAAGCTCTGTCTATATGCAAAGCACCTGGATAGGCCTATGGGGGACAGGAGAGACTGACAGTCAGTCCCTGGGGACAAACGTGGGAGGTTAGCCACAAGCGTCCCCTCTAGGATCTAGCCCTTGTGCAGAGCTGCCAGACGGGGCTCTTTCCACCTGCCTAGAAGCCCAAGTGTGGGGGCGGGGAGAGAGGAAGAGAGAAAGAGAGAAAGGCCAGGTCAGGGAAGGCAGACGTACGTACGGCCTTACCATTCGGGTCAGTGGCACCGATGTAAACACTTGGGGTCTCTAGGCAGGGTTCTGCTCCTGTTCTTGGATCAGCATCGATCAAACAGCCCAGCCCGCTTGGTCGGAGGGTGAGGTCTCCCTAGTTCACATACACCCCTCCCTTTATCCTCCCCCTACACACACACACACAGACATGCTCCAGAGAGACAATAAATCTGCTCAGAACCATGAATAGACCCCTTGTTGCAGGAAAGGGGGCCAAGGGCTGGGCTGGGCTGGGCAGCCTCAGCCCCTCCCATCTGCTAACTAGAAGCTTAGAAACAGAGAAAAAGGTTACAGGGAGGAGGGGAGGCCAGTGACTGTTGCTTAGCAACCAGGTCCCTTGTACCCAACAGTGTGCCCCATGCATGCTAGCACAATCCCCCTTCCTGCTGACAGGGCTCTATCAGAAGGACCGATATCCACATCTGTGGAAATGCTTCTGAGCCCTCTACATTATACCTCCTCTCTGTGTGGGCTGGCCTTCCCAGCAGCCTGGGGCTGTCACCGTGCTGGAATGGGGGAGATAACGAGGAATCTTTGCCGTTTCTCTCCTCAGGGATGCACTTGTCACCCCAATGCTGTGGAAATAGGAGCCTCTCCCCACAGCTTTCCTGGAGGCCAAGTCACTGCAGGAGCCCTCAGCGCTCCCTTGCTTCAAAGCACACGGTGGCCCAGCTGAGCCCAGGGTGGGCTGAACCCACCTGGGAGCCGCATCTCTTCAGGGAGGCAGAACAGGTGCCAGGGAAGAAAAAGGCTTGTGTGGTCTCCCCTCCTCCGAATGCTCCTCATGGATCCCTCAGATGAAACAGTTAAGAATATGGGCCTTGGAAGCCAGGCCTTCATCTAACCCCAGGTCTGCCCCTTTCCTTACACGGCCTCACGTGTAAAATGAGGATAACAGGACCCACCTCCTAGGACTGATGCTGGAACCGAATGAGATACTGAGTATAAACCTCCTAGCCCGGCATGCAGCGTGGAAACGACCCAGTAACTGTCGGCTGTCGGCATTGTTATCACTGCTGAAGCTCACGACACGGGCTTTGCCTCTGCCCTCTGCTTCCCTCAGACGCTCAGTCAGCTCTGAGCTTGCGGTAGGCTCGCAGAGCTCCCCACACTTCCAACACGATGGAGACATGAAGGTCAGCTATGCATCTCTGAAACAGGAGGAGAGACCTGGTGGCTCGGGCTGAGACTCCCCGGGCTAGGCTCAGAGATCTCCTAAAACAAATACCCCTAGCCTAGAAGCAGGCATACTTGCTGTGTGTTCCAGAACCAGTCTGGGCACGGACAATGAATAAGTCACCAGCTAGGAAATTGCAGGCTGCGAGAAGACATGGGAACAGACACAAGTAAGTGAAAAGTGAATTAACAAGGGCATAAACACAGGGGTATAGGAAGATAAAGGAAGAGCTGACTCCTTTGCCCAGAGGACACAGAAAAAGCATCAGAGGAGAGGAGACATCTAAGCTGTGTTTAAGAAATGAGAACGCAATCATATAGAAGGGCATTCCAAATATACTATAGGTGATGTCAGTGAAAATGCCAGAGTAAAGACCTCCAAAAATGCTCTTCTCCATTAGAGCAAGGAGAAAGCAGACAAAAAATTTGTCAGAATCAAATTTTTAAAAGTCTGAAAATTAACCAAAGGCTCACAGCAATATAGAAAGTGTTTATTCAAGGAAAATGACACAATCTCAGTAAGAACAGTGATCTTTGTGGCATTTTAATTTGTTGTAATTCCATCGAGCTCTCTCTTAGAAACCAGCATCCCGCAATCGCTAGGAAAACCAGCAGCCTAACAGCCACAGGTAGAACGGGGCTGGAGTTCCTTCAGAGCCTCCTCTCCAGAGAGCTGCCGTCATTTGAAGTGTCTGGAAAATCCCTTTTGTGAGACTGTCTTACTTTGACTGGACGCTGAGCTTGCCCAGTACGAACAGCTTTTTCTCCAAGGAGTTTTGTTGAAAACAATCAAGGACAGTTGCTGGACTTTATGGCTGCCTAAGGCATAAGAATAACACTTGAGGCAAAAATCAGCTAATCAGGGGCGCCTGGGTGGCTCAGTGGGTTAAGCCGCTGCCTTCGGCTCAGGCCATGATTCCAGGTCCTGGGTTCAAGCCCCACATCGGGCTCTCTGCTCAGCAGGGAGCCTGCTTCCTCCTCTCTCTCTGCCTGCCTCTCTGCCTACTTGTGATTTCTCTCTGTCAAATAAATAAATAAAATCTTTAAAAAAAAATCAGCTAATCAAAAACCTTAAAATAAAAAGCTGGGGAATGAGGCATCCTTAGAGGCTTTGAAAGGCTCTGAAGTATTCCAGAGAATCTAGAAAGCAGGCACATGCACAGGAAAGCAAACATACACAGGGCTGTGTACGTACTTAGAAAACACTTCAGGAAGGTCCTAAGCTCTCAGCTCTGGCTAACCTTGAGGCTCTGAAGAGGCAGGACATGAAGGCTAAGGCAGAGTTGCCAACTTCCTGGCTGAGTGTTGACGGCATGCCCCAACATGCCCATGGAGCCCCCCTGCCAAGGCTGAGAGACTTAGTGGTTCTAGGCCTTGAAGGCAAATCTATGTCTAATCTTTCGCTGACCACTAAGCTAATTGAGCAGAGACTTCAGTGGCCACACATGACAAAGAATATAGACGTTACAGAATTCATTCAGAAAAGTCACTAAACCGGGGTGCCTGGGCAGCTCAGTGGGTTAAGCCTCCGCCTTCGGCTCGGGTCATGATCCCAGGATCCTGGGATTGAGCCCCACATCGGGCTCTCTGCTCAGCAGGGAGCCTGCTTCCTCCTCTCTCCTCCCTCTCTGCCTGCCTCTCTGCCTACTTGTGATCTCTGTCTGTCAAATAAACAAATAAAATCTTAAAAAAAAAGAAGAAAAGTCACTAAACAAACAAGAACAACAATAAACGCTAGGGAATGGGGAGAATCTGATTTC